TTTATTTGAAGTTTTTAAAAAATTGTACGGTTTTAGATTAAGTTATTAATTAAAAATTATTAATTATCAATTAAAATATATATGTAAAACTTAATGGTATACTAAAACTGAACATGTAAAATATTTTATTCACGGTATAAAATTAAATACATTTTTCAATTACATGTCATGTATAAGATCATTCAATTACATGTTATATATATATATATATATATATATATATATATATACATACATATATGTATATATTACCATTCATTCGATTATATACAATTCAGTTACATAACACAATTTACTCTTAAATTTAATTTTTAACACGGAGGCGGTTTTATGAAATAAGAAGTGCGATATAAACATTAATTTATAATTGCACAAGGAGAATGGCGCAAAATGCAAAAACATGGGTTTTAATCTTAGCTTAAAAATACATGTTAAATTAATGAGATGGCAATGTAATAACGACTGACTTATTAATATATAATTACAAAATACACTAGCATTGGATAAACGCATTAAATATTAATTACCCTACACCAATTTTTGTAATATCCCTGAGAACTTCTTTATATCTTCACACTTGAAGATTAAAAGAAATTCAAAATTTGAATGAATCGAATAGCCCTTATCGTTCTTTACATTAATATCTATGCGATACGAAAAGAACTATTCAATATTGAATAAGACCACTCTCTATTGACAAGTCAAAAAGCTTATAAATCAGAAAGTGTTCTTATTGTATATTTACGTAATTTTGCAATAAAATATTATTATTAGTTCAGTTTAACGACTAAGATATTTACGCGATCATTAGATAAATATAATTATTCACTCGTCTATATCTCTTCTATATATAGGTATACTGGTGTTGTACTCCTTGTACCATCTTGGGCACTTAGTACTAGTGGTTGTCCTAACACATCGTTTATCTTCAACTGAAAAAACTTGATCTTCTGGACAACTGAATAGTTCGCCACTTAGCCTGCCTGTTTTTGCTGAACGGGAACATTTTATAAATGTTTGGCCACACTCGTCCTTATCATTGAGGGCGTGAGAGCCCACATCAGGACATAGTTTTTGTTCCCTTTTGACTCGAATCTGAAATAATTAGCGATGCGAAATCAAAATATATCCGCAATTTCACTAACTTCATAAATTAAGAAAAAATTAAACAAACTCACACATGCACACACCATTATATATATATATACTCGTATATATATATATATATATATATATATATATATATATATATATATATATACATATATATTATACAAAGGGTATGAAAATATTTATACACTTACAGGTTTGTCAAATGATGTGAGCGCCTTCATCTTTCTGGTTACTATATTACTATCGTAGCATCTGTTATCTTTTGGTATATCTAAGCATTGAACATGGCCTTCATCATACATTGTACCATTTGGACAACTAAGAATTACAATATTCATATTCACACTATTTGGTTTCTTTGTACATTGGTAGAATAAGTTACAATCTGTAGGATGTCTTCTGAAGCTTGTTGGACAAACATACACAGCTTGACCTTGTTCTAAATCTGTAGGACAGTTACTTATAACGGATGGCGCTGATGATGATTCTGTAACAACAGTTGATTCTGTATTTATATCAGTTGTGCTGTTGATAGATAACATTTCTTGAGTTGTGCTAAATTCAGTGCTCGAAATATGTGATGAACTTCCAGTCGGTACCATTGTAATTTCAGTCGTTGCGTATGTAGTTGATCCTGTACTTAAATGCTCTGTTGAAGTTGCTGATATAGTTGATGAATATTCGGTACTCAAAGGATCGCTCGATGTTGATAAAACAGGTGATGTTGAATAATCTGTACTCATATGCTCGGTAGACGATGGCCATGTTGATGTTCCCATAGATATCGTGGGAGACGTATCATAAGCACTGCCAGTGGTTGCCATTCCATCAGTTGAACTACTATCGGCGGTTGTTGATTTACTATTATTATCTGTAGTTGTCTCGATAGTTGTGGTATAATACGTAGATAAGCTATTTTCTTCAGTAGTTGTTATAGGGGTAAAAGTAGAGACGCTATCAGTAGTGCTATAAATATATGTACTTGACATAACAGAAGTTGTAGAATCAGTTAATGGATTAGCACTTGAAGATACGGATTGTTGAGCTTCTGAACAATTTCTTGGGGGATAAATCGAATCTTTGTAATTGCAAGTAGTCAATAATTGGTCCCATAATGTACCGTTTGGACAAATAAAGTGGAATATAGAAAATCGTTGACCCTTATCACCATCCCAATCAACACATCGATAATAGCGTTGACAATCGAAGGGATGAGAATAAAATCCTGCTTGACGACACTCAAAATTTCCACTTACTGGATTTGCAGTTGCAATTGATTCAGACGTATTTGCTTGCATGTTGCCTGAATGGATATTATTTCCGGAATCAGAACTTTTACAAGATGGTACTAATGAAATATAATTGCAGGTTTGCAGTGAATCATCCCAAGCCGTTCCTGGCCCACAATTAAAATCATATCTCCTGAATACTCCATTACCTTCATTTACACATCTAAAGAATTTTGTACAGTCAGCTGCGTTCATCATAAATCCTTCACGATCACATTTATTGTTCAGGTGAGCAGATTGATTGCTCGGCTTTGATAAATCAGGCCGGCCGGTTTGTCCTGGCTGAACGGATTGTCCAGACTGGCCTTGTTGTCCGGGTGGAATTTGTTGACCGGGCTGAATTTGTTGTCCGGACTGACCTTGTTGTCCGGGCTGACCTTGTTGTCCGGGCTGACCCTGTTGTCCGGGCTGACCCTGTTGTCCCGGCTGACCTTGTTGTCCAGGCTGACCTTGTTGTCCGTGCTGACCTTGTTGTCCTGCTTGACCAGCTTCTCCAGGCTGACCTTGTTGTCCTGATTGAACAGCTTGTCCTGTCTGGCCTTGTTGTCCTGCCTGGACTTCTTGTCCTGATTGACTGAAATGTTCCGATTGACCAGATTGTTCACATCTGGCAACTACCGATTTATGATTACAGGCTTGAATGCTGTTATCCCAAGCGGTACCTGGACCACAAGTAAATTTATATCTGATTAATCCGCCTTTGCCGTCATCTACGCATCTATAAAATACAGTGCAGTCTAATGGGTCACCCATAAAACCTTCCTGGGTGCAAACAGTGCCTATGGGTGATGACTGCCCAGGCTGACCGGGTTGTCCTGGCTGACCGGGTTGTCCTGGCTGACTGGGTTGTCCTGGCTGACCGGGTTGTCCTGGCTGACCGGGTTGTGCTGGCTGACCGGGTTGTTCTGGCTCACCGGATTGTCCTTGCTGACCGGATTGTCCTTGCTGACCGGGTTGTCCTGGCTGACCGGGTTGTCCTGGCTGACTGGATTGTCCCGGCTGACCGTGCTGTCCTGGCTGACCGGGTTGTCCTGGCTGACCGGACTGTCCTGGCTGACCGGGCTGTCCTGGCTTATAGGGCAGTCCTGGTTTACCGGGCTGTCCGGGCTGATCTGGTCGACCAGGTTGCCCTGGCTTACCGGGTTGTCCTGCATGACCAGAATGTTCTGGTTCACCGGGTTGCCCTGGCTGTCCTGGCTGTCCAGGCTGTACTGACTGCCCTGGCTGTCCTGGCTGACCGGACTCACCGGGTTGTCCTGGTTGACCAGTTAGACCTGGTTTACCAGGTTGTCCTGATTGACCAGCTTGTCCTGACTGGCCAGCTTGTCCTGTCTGGCCTTGTTGTCCTGCCTGGACTTCCTGTCCTGATTGACTGGAATGTTCCGGTTGACCAGATTGTTCACATCTGGTAACTACCGATTTATGATTACAGGCTTGAATGCTGTTATCCCAAGCGGTACCTGGACCACAAGTAAATTTATATCTGATTAATCCGCCTTTGCCGTCATCTACGCATCTATAAAATACAGTGCAATCTAATGGGTCACCCATAAAACCTTCCTGGGTGCAAACAGTGCCTATGGGTGATGACTGCCCAGGCTGACCGGGTTGTCCTGGCTGACTGGGTTGTTCTGGCTGACCGGGTTGTCCTGGCTGACCGGGTTGTCCTGGCTGACCGGGTTGTCCTGGCTGACCGGTTTGCCCTGGCTGACCGGGTTGTCCTGGCTGACCGGGTTGTCCTTGCTGACCGGGTTGTCCTGGCTTACCGGATTGTCCTGGCTGACCGGATTGTCCTTGCTGACCGGTTGTCCTGGCTGACCGGGTTGTCCTGGCTGACCGGGTTGTCCTGGCTGACCGGGTTGTCCTGGCTGACCGGGTTGTCCTGGCTCACCGGGTTGACCTGGCTGACCGGGTTGTTCTGGCTCACCGGATTGTCCTGGCTGACCGGATTGTCCTTGCTGACCGGGTTGTCCTGGCTGACCGGGTTGTCCTGGCTGACCGGATTGTCCTGGTTGACCGAATTGTCCTGGCTGAACGGATTGCGCTGGCTGACCGGGCTGTCCTGGGTGACTGGACTGTCCTGGCTGACCGGGTTGCGCTGGTTGACCCGATTGTGCTGGTTGACCGGATTGTGCAGATTGACCGGGCTGTGCTGGTTGACCGGGTTGCTCTGGCTTACCGGGTTGTCCTGCTTGACCAGATTGTCCTGGTTGACCGGGTTGTTCTGGCCGTCCTGACAGCCCTGGCTGTCCTGGCTGACCGGACTGACCGGGTTGTCCCGGTTGACCTGTTTGACCTGGTTTACCAGGTTGTACTGATTGACCAGCTTGTCCTGACTGGCCAGCTTGTCCTGTCTGGCTTGTTGTCCTGCCTGGACTTCTTGTCCTGATTGACTGGAGTGTTCCGATTGACCAGATTGTTCACATCTGGTAACTACCGATTTATGATTACAGGCTTGAATGCTGTTATCCCAAGCGGTACCTGGACCACAAGTAAATTTATATCTGATTAATCCGCCTTTGCCGTCATCTATGCATCTATAAAATACTGTGCAATCTGATGGGTCACCCATAAAACCTTCCTGGGTGCAAACAGTGCCTATGGGTGATGACTGCCCAGGCTGACCGGGTTGTCCTGGCTGACTGGGTTGTTCTGGCTGACGGGTTGTCCTGGCTGACCGGATTGTCCTGGCTGACCGGATTGTCCTGGCTGACCGGATTGTCCTTGCTGACCGGGTTGTCCTGGCTGACCGGGCTGTCCTGGCTGACCGGGTTGTCCTGGCTGACCGGGTTGTCCTGGCTCACCGGATTGTCCTGGCTGACCGGATTGTCCTTGCTGACCGGGTTGTCCTGGCTGACCGGATTGTCCTGGCTGACCGGGTTGTCCTGGCTGACCGGGTTGTCCTGGCTGACCGGGTTGTCCTGGCTGACCGGGTTGTCCTGGTTCACCGGATTGTCCTGGCTGACCGGATTGTCCTTGCTGACCGGGTTGTCCTGGCTGACCGGGTTGTCCTGGCTGACCGGATTGTCCTGGTTGACCGGATTGTCCCGGCTGAACGGATTGCGCTGGCTGACCTGGCTGTCCTGGCTGTCCTGGCTGACCGGACTGTCCTGGCTGACCGGATTGCGCTGGTTGACCGGATTGTGCTGGTTGACCGGATTGCGCTGGTTGACCGGATTGTGCAGGTTGACCGGGCTGTCCTGGCTGACCGGATTGCGCTGGTTGACCGGGTTGCTCTGGCTTACCGGGTTGTCCTGCTTGACCAGATTGTCCTGGTTGACCGGGTTGTTCTGGCTGTCCTGACTGCCCTGGCAGTCCTGGCTGTCCTGGCTGTTCTAGCTGACCCGACTGACCGGGCTGTCCTGGTTGACCTGGTTGACCGGGCTGTACAGCTGGACTAGGTTGTCCTGGTTGACCATGTTGTCCTGCTTGACCAGTTTGCCCTGATTGGCCACCTTGACCTGTCTGTCCTTGTTGTACTGCCTGGACTTCTTGTCCTGATTGACTGGAATGTTCCGATTGACCAGATTGTTCACATCTGGCAACCACCGATTTATGATTACAGGCTTGAATGCTGTTATCCCAAGCGGTACCTGGACCACAAGTGAATTTATATCTGATTAATCCGCCTTTGCCGTCATCTACGCATCTATAAAATACTGTGCAATCTAATGGGTCACCCATAAAACCTTCCTGGGTGCAAACAGTGCCTATGGTTGATGACTGCCCAGGCTGACCAGGTTGTCCTGGCTGACCGGGTCGTCCTGGCTGACCGGGTTGTCCTGGCTGACCGGGTTGTCCTGGCTGACCGGATTGTCCTGGCTGACCGGATTGTCCTTGCTGACCGGGTTGTCCTGGCTGACCGGGTTGTCCTGGCTGACCGGATTGTCCTGGCTGACCGGATTGTGCTGGTTGACCGGATTGTGCTGGTTGACTGGGCTGCCCTGGCTGACCGGATTGCACTGGTTGACCGGTTTGTGCTGGTTGACCGGGTTGCCCTGGCTGTCCTGGCTGTCCTGGCTGACCAGGCTGTCCTGGCTGACCGGACTGTCCTGTCTGACCGGGTTGTCCAGGTTGACCGGGCTGTCCTGTTTGACCGGGCTGTCCTGTTGACCGGGCTGTCCAGGTTGACCGGGCCGTTCTGGCTGACCGGGCCGTCCTGGCTGACCGGGCTGTCCAGGTTGATCGGGCTGTCCCGGCTTACCGGACTGTCCTGACTGTCCTGGCTGTCCTGGCTGACCGGGCTGTCCTGTCTGACCGGGTTGTCCAGGTTGACCGGGCTGTCCTGTTTGACCGGGCTGTCCACCGGCTGTCCAGGTTACCGGGCTGTCCAGGTTGACCGGGCTGTTCTGGCTGACCGGGCCGTCCTGGCTTACCGGGCTGTCCAGGTTGATCGGGCTGTCCCGGCTTACCGGACTGTCCTGACTGTCCTGGCTGTCCTGGCTCTCCAGGCTGTCCTGGTTGCCCCGGCTGTTCCAGCTGACCTAACTGACCGGGCCGTCCAGGTTGTCCTGTCTGGACTTCTTGTCCTGATTGACTGGAATGTTCTGATTGACCAGATTGTTCACATCTGGCAACTACCGATTTATGATTACAGGCTTGAATGCTGTTATCCCAAGCGGTACCGGGACCACAAGTAAATTTATATCTGATCAATCCGCCTTTGCCGTCATCTACGCATCTATAAAATACTGTGCAATCTAATGGGTCACCCATAAAACCTTCCTGCGTGCAAACAGTGCCTATGGGTGATGACTGCCCAGGCTGGCCGAGTTGCCCTGGCTGGCCGAGTTGCCCTGGCTGGCCGGGTTGCCCTGGCTGCCCGGGTTGCCCTGGCTGCCCGGGTTGCCCTGGCTGACCGGGTTGTCCTGGCTGACCGGATTGTCCTGACTGACCGGGTTGTGCTGACTGACCGGGTTGTGCTAACTGACCGGACTGTCCTGGCTGACTGGACTGTCCTGGCTGTCCTGCCTGACCGGGCTGTCCTGGTTGTCCTGGTGGTCCTGGTTGACCTGGTTGACCTGGTGGTCCTGGTTGACCGGGTTGTCCTGGCTGACCGGGTTGTCCTGGCTGACCGGATTGTCCCTGCTGACCGAGTTGTCCCTGCTGACCGGGTTGTTCGGGTTTACCAGATTGCCCTGGCTGACCGTATTGACCTGGCTGACCAGGTTGAATTGGTTGACCAGGCTGACCTGGCTGACCGGTTTGTGCTGGTTTACCAGGTTTCCCTGTTGACTGGTTGTCCCTGTTGACTGGGTTGTCCCTGCTGACCGAGTTGTCCTGACTGGCCGGTTTGTTGTAGCTGACCGGGTTGTTCGGGCTTACCAGACTGTCCTGGCTGGCCGTATTGACCTGTCTGACCGGGTCTTTCTGGTTGACCAGGTTGGCCTGGCTGACCGGTTTGTGATGGTTTACCTGGCTGTCCATGTTGACCATACTGCCCTTGCTGAGCGGGTTGACCTGGCTGACCTGGCTGACCAGATTGACCTGGATGACCAGATTGACTTGGCTGACCGGTTTGTGCTGGTTTACCAGGTTGTCCTTGTTGACCGTATTGCCCTTGTTGGCCGTATTGTCCTGGTTGGCCGTATTGTCCTTGTTGACCGTATTGTCCTTGCTGACCGTATTGTCCTTGCTGACTGTATTGTCCTTGCTGGCCGTGTATTGTCCTTGCTGGCCGTGTTGTCCTTGCTGGCCGTATTGTCCTTGCTGACCGTATTGGCCATGCTGGCCGTATTGTTCTTGCTGGCCGTATTGTCCTTGCTGGCCATTTTGTCCTTGTTGATTGGGTTGTCCAGGCCGACCAGAATGTCCTTGTTCGCCAGATTGACCGGGAAAAGTAGACTGGTTTGCTTGATCAGTCTGTGCGTTTTCAATCATACATCTCGGAACTAAATTAATATGATTACATCCTTGTATTTTTGTATCCCATGCAGTTCCAGGACCGCAAGTAAAATCATATTTAAGAAACTGGTGATTATCATTTTTCACACATCTATAAAATTTTCGGCAGTTAGTAGGGTCGGCAACAAATCCTTCCTTTTTACATATATTATTATTCATAAAGTGCGATGCATTTCCAGCAGCTGACGGAAAAGAACTGGCCAGTTCGTTGCTGTCAATTTCGTTTACGTTATTATCAGCATTTGACTGAGTATTTGAAGAAGTATTTTCACTGGAAGATGATGTGGACGATTGTGAGTTTTGATTATTACTCCATGACTGATTATTAGTGTTAGTGCTCGAACTACTACTACTGCTACTGCTACTGCTACTGCCACTGCCACTACTACTGCTACTGCTACTGCTACTGCTACTGCTACTACTACTGCTGCTGACACTACCGCTGCTGCTGCTACTGCTACTACTACTGCTGCTGTTGCTTGTGCTAGAGGTGCTGGTACTTGCACTATTCGAAGTCTGACTAGATTGTGACAGATACTGCGATTCGGAGCCCGACCCATAATAATTTTCACAGCCTGGCACAGTCCATGGGTAGTTACAGCTTTTCACTCGGTCATTCCAAACTGTACCATTTGCGCAAGTATATTCATACTTGTCAAATGCCTTATTATTTACGACACACCTGTAGAATTTTCTGCAATCGTTAGATACGCCAAAAAATCCTTCCTGCGTACAAATGGAGTTTTGATGTTCATATTATTGTTTCCGTTGTTTTGGTTATTCGATCCGTTATGATTTCCTAAATTGTTATTATTATTAGGATTGTTTGAATTTATATTGTTGTAATTGTTATTATTGTTTCCCATAGGATTATAATAACTATTGTAATTATTATTCAAATTTTTCGTTGTAATTATTTTTATTACTCTCAGGATATTTTGTAGTTGCGGGACCTATTGTAGTACCTTGTTATTAAAATCATTTCGAGTAGTTGAAATTCTAGATGTGGTTGTAATCGAAGTGGCTCCACACATCTCACGACCTGAATCTGCAGGATGAACACATACGTCGGGTCCCGGCGCAAATACGGTACCGGGACCACATCGAAAACGAAATGACATGGGTGGTCCTTGTCCCCATTCTACACAGCGATAAAATGTCTCGCAATCATGTTCATCCGGGAAGAATCCGATGCCTGGGCACTTAAATTCTTGTCCCGTAGATTGTCTTACAGCCCTTTGAGAAGTGCGCTCTGCAATAGTACAGTTTAAAGTTAAAAAACTAATATTTTATATCGATTATTGAATGTATGGAAAAAGTTTTATGGTATAAGTTGAGTCAATAATCATATATTCAATGAATAATTTGAACAAAAGATATTATGTTTAAATATTAAATGAAATATTATTATAGTTTTTCAAATTTTACGGTATGATTGAAAATCATGCTATATATATGTAATAAAAATCACTTACTTGTATTAGATGCATCTGTTGTAATTATTAAAATCAGCATAATAATCCATTGTTGCAAGATTGATCAAAATCATCTTTG